AAAAGAAAATATATTTTATTTATCTTATAAATAAAATAATTTTAAGTGTATATGTAGTTTATTATTTATTTTTGGTTGTAATTAAATATGCATCTTTCTGGCAGCAGAAAAGTTTGTTTTTCTTTCCTACAGTGGAGTGTTCTGCTGCAACCACTAGGGGGCGACAGACTCCACATGATTCACCCCCATGCATGCGAGCAGCCATTGTACTTTTATTGTCGCTGCTGCCAAAGTTTTTAAACCAAATAGTTTAGGTTCTGATTAACACAGCGGATTCTTTGTTTCTCCATCTTTTAATCCTTCTGACCTGGTTTTACGTTTCCACACGGCAGACTTGACTCAGGAAAATGGTGCAATAATATTAACATTTGCGCAAGCTACAGAAATCCAGTTTAATTGCCTTTGCTAGACATAAATTTTAGATTTAAACCTGAGAATGACAGCTTCTGCTGCATCATTCAAAAGATGCTACTTAAGTATTTCAGCAGTTTTTATTGTTTGTTTGTTTGTTTGTTTTGATTGATTGCCATTCTTACACTTTCAAATCTGAAATTTTCCACGTAAATCTCTGACTTGTAGTTGTTTTTATCTAAAAGTATCAAGAGATAGAATAATTGTAGTAAAATATAACACCTATAATTGTGGAAGGGGTTGAACTTTCAAGCAAAACTGGTCAAAATGCCTGTAAGTAAGAAGCTGAGATGCGTAGAATGGCCACCAGAGGGCAGTGATGATTTCATATAGGAACCGTAAAATCAGGCAGCTTCTCTCAGCATCCAATCCTCACTTAGAGCAGTCAGAGCTGTTCAGCAGACACAAAGGATGGCTCAGACACATTGGTAAACATAGTAAGGATAGTTTTATTGTGCGCTGCGTGGTACGTGGGCCAGAGTCTTTACAACATGGTGTGAGATGATGAGACGAGTGTGGGTGTCCATTAGTACGTCTGATGTTTTGGCATCATGAAAACTGAAAATGTCAAAACTCCATCAGTTGTCCATTGTGTCTTTTAGGCATCTTCTGTGTCTGGTGAGCTTCACTCACTGT